AAAATCTTGCCAAGAAAACTGCAAGGACTTGTCCAGGCAGTGGCCAGGAGTCAAGACTGACTCAAAAAAAAAAAAAAGAGGGGGGAGATCACACTCAAGTCTTTCACAGGCGTATTTCCAATCCATGAATCCCCAATCTTGTATATGTATCTTTTCTTCTCCTTTTGGTCCAGTCTTCCAATCTGTCCAGATTAGTCTGCAATTTTGTTCTGTTGTCTTGGCCATTTGCCAGACCTCCTAATTTTATGTTATCCACAACTTTGATAAGAAGCCCATTAATCCCATCATCCATGTCATTAATAATAGTGTTGAATAATTTTGGCCCCAAGATTGATCCTTGCAGAATCTCACTAGTTATTGCCCTCCGATTCAGCACAGAGCCATTAATGCTGACTCCCTGAGTGTGGTTAGCCTGTTAACCAGGAATAAATTTACTAGTTGGCAAACTGGTGGGTGTGTTCCCTATTGCATTCTTAAAATAATCCCCCTTCCCTGCAACAATCTGTACAACCTCAGTCTACCTTCGACTTTTCTTCTGAGCAGGCAGGCATGCTTCCAAGCAGCCGTCCTCCATTTTTATTATGTAAGAATATTTTGGAACCTATTTGGTAACCAGAGGCCTTCTTGGGAATAAAGTTGTTATTAAAAGCTAGTGCTGTACAGTATGCTGGCTATTTGCTTATTTTTAATTAAAAGAATCTAAGAGAAATAAAGTCATATGGGCAGATGCACATCAGAAACAGTCTTCATGGGCACATCATTACAGGACCCACAGGCACAATGCTGCCTAAGCTTGAATTATGTTGTCAATCTGGGGGTTTATCTCTGGAAGCGCTCTGAGGTATTTTAATATGAATAAGAACTTTAAACAAAAGCAATGGGTACAAGATTTTATTTATACAAAAATATGGTAAGTGCTTGAAAAAAATCTGATAAAAAGATTAGATACGCAGACATTCCTATTTTCATATATATTGTACTTTAAAAGTGTTTCATGGAAAATTAAAAAATTCCCTTTAAATGTAGTAATACAAAAAAGGTTAAGGGTTGTCAGGAGCTGAGTGTTCTCTCAGGTTTTTGCTAGTGCATGACAGACACATACACCCCAGTTTCAGAGGGAAGACCTAGGCATGTATATGCTGCCAATTTAAATACTGACCTTGCTTGAAGGACCTTGCTCTTCTTGCTTGAATCTCCTAAGCCAGTGTTTCTGGCTGGGGAATTCTGGGAGTTGAAGTCCACGTGTCTTAAAGTTGCCAAGGTTGGGAAACACTGTGCTAAACGGATAGGTCTGGAAGTGTTATACATAAGGCCTTCTATCTATGAAAGCCTGCCATGCTGTTTCTCATGACTGAAGCAGCTGCTTCAGAGAAACCCTCAAAGAGGGTTGGAAGGCAGCTTCCTTTCCCTGCTATGACTCGCCAGCAAATGGTTTTCAAACGGTTTTCAGGATTCTTCTTCTTTCAGGATTTTTTCTGAATCCTGAAGTAGCATATAGCCATGACTATCCACTATAGGTAGTCCTTGACTTACGACCCTTTGTTTAATGACCGTTCGAAGTTACGACAGCACTAAAAGAGGTGACTTATGACTGTCCCATGCACTTACGACCATTGCAGCACTCCCACGGTCACATGATTGCCATTTGTGACTTTCCCATTGACTTCTGACAAGCAAAGTCAATGGGGGAAGCCAGATTCACTTAATGACCACATGATTCACTTAATGACCATAGCAAAAAAGGTGGTAAAATTGGGCGCGACTCCCTTAATGACCACATCTCTGTCTAGCCCTCTTTTAGATCAGTATTTCTCATCACTAAGAAACCTCTTTCACTTTAAGAGGTGTGGACCTCAACTCTTGGATGGGCTGGGGAATTCTGGGAGTTGAAGTCCATACCCCTTAAAGTTGCCTTGGTTGGGAAACACTGCTTTAGATTATTTGATTTCACTTACATTTAAATGCAATGAAATTATTTATCTTCAACATGACTCCCTATATTTGATAGTTTATCCAACCTGTCTTTTCAAACAATACCATTTGGTGACTTTAGAAGAGCGACAACTTCAGGGAGCTGTGCTCAAGGCCTTCAGACTGAACACCTGAACTACTGAGGTAAATGGTAGTGAGATGCATTTAAAGCAGGCTCTGAAATTAGCAATTTAGGTATGCAACACAGATGCACCCTGCTTTCCCGTTTGTAATAAAGCTCGTATTTCTTTCCCATGCAGCTCTTTTTTGGGATGCTGCTCTAGGCAACCACCACTAGAGGTCACTAGATCCCACCACTATTCGCCTTCTCTAAACCCGTCTTGCTAGTAACTCCACAGTTTAGTACATTGCCTGTCATTTTAAAATCTGGTTTCATTTTGTTGAGCTTCTGCCCACTTAATGCTTAAATATTTCTAAAACATTTAACATAAAAGGCAGTCACAGAAAAGCTTTTTAAAAATAAATATTTTTCCCCATAAATTTTAAAAAATTCCTATACGAATATACTTTTTCTTTTCTATTGGGTACACAAAAGAGGATCTCTCAGAAAAACATCTGTCTCCTGTATGAAAAAGGATTGCACTTTGTAATACATCTTTTAACTCTGAAGGATTGTTTCTGGCATTGACTAATTTTAATGAAATTAAAAAAGAAAGGAAAGGAAAGAACCCCTCCTGATACAAAATAGCAGCAAGGCAATTGTAGCCAGATTGACAACTTTCAAAAAGGATCAATTACCAGAGATATCCCCCTCCCAGGGTTCTGCTGGACTCCAACTCTCATCGCAGATTTGCCGTCCAACACATCTGGAGGGCACTAGGTTGGAAAATGCATACCTTGCAAGAAAACACGAACAGTTGAAATCCTGTCATTTAAAAGTTCCTGATGAGGCCAGCTCCAAATCTAAATATTTTGGAAGACTGAAAGAATGTAAGCCTTGCCTGTGGGGATCAGTTTAGGAATGTGTAGCATTTCTAAGCGACTGCAGGCAGGGTTGGCTACGATGCATGTTACAAGGACCAAAAGCAATGCATGCCCAGAGTGTGGAGTAAATCTTTGCCAAAGCATCATAGAAATCCTGACACTCAGGAAGGAATTCATCTGCTATCCCTCCTGGGCACAAAATCAAGTGTGAATTTAAGGGCTTAAGAAACGAGACATGATGTTATTGATCCAAAAAGGATGGAGGAAAAGAGGGAGGAAAGGAATCTACTTTTTCTTTTCCAGAATGCATGGCAAATGCAAAACATCTGTTACAATTATAATTGGTGCTGCCCAGTTCCACAGAGTGGGGGCAGGGAAACCTGTAGTCAGTAGGAAGGCTGATAACACGAAGTGCAAGTCGAAAGAGAGGGAAGGGGAATGAATGATGATTCTTTGTACAGACATGAAAGGAAAAAAAAAAAGGAAAACCCTCCAAATTATATGAGGTTTCAAGAGAAAAACAAAACAAAACCCGACTGGGAATGGTCCATTAACCCATAAATTCTAAACATTCAGGAACCAGCTGAATTACCATTGCATAGTTAGGTGAACTTTTTTTTCCCTAAAAAAAGCTCAAATATGTCCAAACTCTACTAGTTGCTAATTCTTTACCCCTCAACTGAAAGGAATAAAAAAAAAAATTGTGGCAATTGATAGCATTTGTAGTGTAGTTTACCTACAGGTTTCTGTGGTTTGGGTGAGGTGAGTAAGGCAATGCTGCTGCCAGTATCTTAGCAGATATCTGCAATTTTCTATCTATTAGAAGTATCCTGGAAGACTCTTTGCAGAGCTTTGCTGTATGTATACCTACTATTGCTTTTCCATAGTTTTATATACAGTTATACATTGATAAAGTGCAACTGTTATTGGCATTGTAATACAATCTGATTTTCTCAGGAAGCACCAACATAGCTTATCCTATGGCACAGTTAAGGAAGCGACTGCTATGCCACGGTGCTGCACACGGCCCATCATGGCTTCCCCCATGAAGTCATTTCTTTTCTCTGGAGCTGCAGGGTGGAGGAAAAAGCAGCTCTTCGGTGTCACAGCAACTAGGTCCAACGGTAAAGACTCCTTCTTACTTCAAGGCTGAGCATGAAGAACCTAACAGTGGACATTGCTCTGGTCTTGTCAGCTGTTACTTGGCACTGTTGCCAGAGCTCTCTTCAGCGATCTTCTCTTCTGAACTGCTTCTTCCCGAGAGTCTGTCTTGGTACTCAAAATCATTGAACCTCTCAGCTACACACTGCGCAGTCAGCCGGGCCTCAGGATCATGATCCCAACACTCAACAATGGTCTCGCACACCTTCTGGATACCCTGAAATGAGCACAGAAAGCAAGTCTTAGAACTCTGGAAGGCACAGAACTCAATAAATGGTTTTAGAAAGTGAGAGGTCTACAAAGAGTATAAATGTATACAAAATCTTCTCGTGTAGTATTCCTGTTACAAATAGTCATGCTTAGGAAAATACAGAATTCTAATTTACACCATGTGTCTGTGTGTTCTTAAATGAAAACAGGAAACACAGCTTGTCACAAGTTATAATCTCTCAAGTTACTACTTATACAAGTCACTTTTGATCTTAGGGAAGATGAACATACACTGAGATATTAGGGAGGGTATTACTTGCAATAAATATTACCAAGCTCTGTTTTGTTATTGAAGTTTCCACAGTAAAATGATAATCATACTTGTGTTTGTTTTTTCTCCGATTGAGGGAGCTGTGCGGTGGTGGTGAGAATAGAGTTTGGGATTTTACAATGTGCTTGCAATATTTACAAGAAGAGATGGCCTTGGGAAAATCACCAGATGCCCGCTGAATTGTCTTGAATGGACCAAGACATTTTTCTGGCTAGGGTAAAACAGCAGCCACCACAATGTGCATAATGCTGAAATAGCCAAGTTATTTTGACACTTAAGCAAAAAATCCACCAAGTATTTTTTTTTCTATATATGGCAATATACATAAAAAATAACAAAATAAATAACTATCACGTTCATTCATGACACCTGCAATTAATACTTCCAGGCAGCTCCCACTGATATCTAACAGTAGGGCATGCCCCGCTAGCCACTAATTTTATCAATAATTGTCCAAGTATGAAAAAAAAATCAAGTGAACTAAAAGGCATGAATTTCAAAATAATGCTATTGAAGAAAGAAGTTCTGTCCTTCATGAAAATAAATGAAAGAGGAGATTTTCCTCTTTTTTTCACCATCTACCTGCCTTGCAGCCCTCTGAAGGCTGTGTTATTTATTAACCCATGGTTATATACTGTGAAATTAAAATTCTGGGTGAATTTTCCTGTTTACCATAGAATGTTGCTCTATATATGGAAACTGGTTTTATCTGATCCCGGAGAGCTCCCTGTGTCTGCTCTTCACTGAGATACAGAAGGGTTCCAGGAGTTTCAGCTGATTCAGGGCTTGATAAAGGAGAAGAGCAAAAGGTTGTTTGCTGGCACAAACTTCTTTTTGTGCTCCAAGCCTCTGCTGTTAATGTTGTAGTATTCAAGCTATTGTGATGTTAATTACAGTTCTCCCATAATGGGAATTCCACTGTGGGTGCTTTGTTCTAGAAACATAATGGCTAAATGCAGCCCTGTCAAGATTAGGTGTTGGGCAGATATTAATGATATGAGCACTTATGAAGTTTCTTGCCTCTAGCTCATGCATATGAATTCATTAAATCATACGTTAAAGTGTTTGGCCTTTTATTTCAATGGAGAATTTTTTTGGTCATAAGAAAGAGGGAAAACTAGTATGTCCTTTTTTTTTTTTTAAGCAAAGTGTAATTGTACAATTTACTTCATAGCTGATGTTGACAGTTGTCAACAGTACATTGGTATTGGAATTATACAAATAATATGATTTTTCTGCATTCTGAAATTACCAACATTGAGTTAAATTAAATGTTAAACATTCACTTGAAATCAGTAATGTCAACAAACTTCATTAAGAAGTGAAGGAGAGGAAAAAGAAGGCTATGTAAAATCCATTTCAAATTTAGTACTATGAATAACGGGTGTATCACAAAAATGAAATTGCTTGGGAAAACAGAAGAGCTAAATATAGCAGTAATAACTGCTTTGAGTTTTAAAGTTTTGCAAAAGAACTAAGAATTTTAGCAGCAACTTGAAAATACCAAAGGCAGATTTTCAGTATAATTTGGACTGAAATCTAATACAAAGAGTCACTCCATTGACCTAATGTGGTTTATGGTATTAAGATGCCCTGGTGAAAGAAGAATAAAAATGAAAGTGGTCCATACTAATGAAATTCCAGCAACTTGACAAGGCAGAGCTGAGAGAAATAACGCAGCAGAAAAGGAGACATATGGAACAGAGCTGCAATCCTATCAACACTTCACTGGAGCAGTGCTTCTAATATCACTCTGCCACATTGAGTAGCACTCATATTGCAGGGCCTTTTTACAACTCTGAGAAATCTTGGGGCAAAATGTTTATGTATTTTTTTTAATTTTATTTTTTCCCCATTGCTGTTTGTTCCTTGAATTCAATGGTCCAGTATAAAGGACTTCACAGGGAAACACAAAACATAGAAATAATTATTGGAATTATACTGTAATATTAGTTTTATTGTCTTGAATGAAAATTATCTATTAAATAATTTCAAAAATTGAAATATGCTTTCTGTGGTGACTCCACTATCTGTGACGCCTGGCCAGTTCCCCCATGAACTGTCTGCCTCCAAAAATAATCAAGACTCTGTCTTACCTGATGGTTGAGCCATGAGCTAGGAATCTCTGGCCGTCCTCTGTCCCTCAAAACATTGTCCTTCATGCTTTCTACACACGGATGTTCTCGCACTTTTGAACCAAATGGTGGCTCATAGTCTTTCACCTCTGCTAAGAGAATAAGCAAAAATGAAGACACTTGGTTAGACTCAAAGATCAAAATCAAGAAGTCCATTTTGGTCTCTCCTTGATAAAACAGAATCTGCTCCTAGCATCTGTTCTTTATCATCTGAATTCAGTATTTTTTGTTTTTTTGCATTTTTTGTTTTTGAGCCTCCTTTTTGCCAATACTGCTAGGCTGTCTATCACTGTCATTTATCTGAGAAAAAAAAAAATGTTGAAAATGACAGTGGGAGGTCTGGGATGCATTTCCTGAAATTAAAATAGAAGCCTTGAAAGGTTGTGATGATCTCTCTCCCAAGGATACAAAACTGAGACCTATAGATAGGTAAATAGTCTCAAGAATATGCTTTTGCCCCAAGCCTTCAAGAACCTGTCAGGGTTGTTTCTCTTATTTCTATTTGCTGAGGAATTAGAAGATATTTAGAAACATAATATAAAACTAAATTCTAACAACAAAACAAGCCAAGGCACAACCCTCCCAGGTTCCAAAAGAAATTCAAACCCAACTCAATCCCCATTTACAAATTATTATGATCCCCAAACTGGGAGGTCTTACATGATTTTGGGTATATGCTGAAGCTTTTTTTCCTTTTAAGATTTGGCAAGACAGTTCTGGAACAGACATGAAAACTGAACTAAGGCAGATGGAGCTTGCAGGAAGGCAAGGGTGTATACAAGAATGTGCATTTAAATATGTTCTAAATGCTGTTCTGCATCGTGTTGTGTGCTTCATGTGTAAAAAAGGCACAAGAGTTTTGAGAACACCTACTCAAAGCTTCACTGCAAGCGTTACAATAGATTTCTTTAGAACGCAGAATTTCATTTGCTTGCTGCTTATATTCCTCCCAAGAAAAGAAAAGAAGAAACAGGAGGTGGAATGATGGAGGGAAACCTAAAGGCAATACAAGTGGCAACCCAGATGTTGTTTGTATTGGTAAAGTCTGACAAGTTTTGGGCTGTGTTCATGCAACGTTTTTAGCCAGCTAAATGACAAACTTAGATACCTTCATATCATATGCCAAACTTGACTAGCTTCAACCCTGTTTTGTTTTTGTTTGTATGCATTGTGAAAACCTAGCCAGTTTTGTTAATTTACGTTTGAACTGTTGTCTGGATCCAGAAAATGGTTGAATTCAATAACCAAGTACAACACCCAGCCATTGTGGGCTAAAATGCAACATTCACCTACCTGGGAAAATATAAAAATGCAGCTCAGTATTATCTACAGTGGCTGATGGCACCTACTTAGTATTTCAGATTTTTTTCCCCCTCGCTCATCTAGAAATGCTAGGATTTGAACCAAAGAACTTATGCATGTTAGTACACAAGATTTTATACAGAATCCTGGTGTGGGCATCCACACTATAGGAGGAAAATGATTTGTCTTTCATCCAATGTATATCAGGTTGTTATTTATTTCTAACATTAAAAAAGCTTTTATACTTATAGCAACAAAAAGCTCTTTATGAAGTTCTGTTCCAGCATTTTGTGGACCTGTCATGTGATTGTCCCTGCCAAACTATAAAACAGGGGTGTGAACTTAGGGTGAGTGGAGGCCCACCCATGAATTTGAGAGGCACACTGCAGTCCATGCTTCAAAATGGATGAGGGTAAACTATTTACAGACAAGCACAATACATACATGGACACACATGCTCCTACTCATTACTTCTGGGATGGGGGAGTTGGACCGGTTCCTGTGCTGGGGGAAGGAAGAATAAGAAAAGGAGAGCTGGATTCTGGGCTGGGCGATGAGGAAAGGGATGGGAAAGCAAACAGGAACTGAAACAGAGAGGAGTATGGTGGCAGAAAAGCGGAAAGAGCGGAATGAAAAAATCACCAAAGGAAAAAGCAGAGACGTGGTGGGAGAAGTGGCCAATGAGGGGAAAGAGAAGGGATATGGAAGAGGCAGAAAGTTGGGCTAACCCTCACAGTCCAGGAAGAAGCAAGCAGTGCAGGAAGAGGATAAAGGAGAAGAAAAGTGGCCAAACAACCACTTTTTAAACTCCTGTTATGAAGAATCCAGTATAAGTCAAATCCCTCCCTTCCTGCCCTGCAGTGTGGGAATTTGCCAGATCAGAAAATAATTCCTAAAATTAAAAATAAAAGCACAGTGGACTTGTCCTGATCCACTCTGCTTAGCTGCGTACCTCTAGCAGTGAGCTACAGATGATCTGCAACTATGCTTTACAAGTATCTATTTTGGAATTTTTTTATTTTCTTGCTTTCCCTTAATTTTATTTGATAAAACCACACCGTAGTTTACTAGTACACACTGAGAAATAGAGAGAAATAACATCTATTTAGACCAGAGGTCTGCTTTGTATCATGTTGTTTTTAGAATTGGTTTCTGTAGGCAGTATAAAAAACGTTGGATTAAACCAATACACTGAACTGAATGGGGCCCAAATCATTGTGGCTTCTCGAATGGCATTTACTGCATTTAAATGTGTATTTCATATTTGCACATTTTCATGAAGAGTCAAGGTCTATTCTAAGGGACACATTCAATCATCCAACATACAATTTGCTTGCTGAGCACTGATAGGCTGAATGAGATAATTCCCCGTAATCTATTTCTGACATAAAAGGATGCAGGACAAAACTGAAACATGGACACAATAACAGACACAAAGTATATTTCCTGGAGCCAGTCTAAGGAAACAAGTGTGACCTGGAGCACAATAAAGGGCATTTTAAAAGGTGCCAAGCTTTCTTCTGTAGAGAAAAAAGGAAGAAGCCAATGACTCAATTTAAAGGGAAATCAGCACACTTGCATACAGGATTACTCTCATTCAAAAGAGCGGGGGCTACGGCTCATACACTTCATTTTAATTTTAATGAAAAGCAGTTCATTAAGAAGGCACACATTTTGGAAACAGAACTGTTTGGGGGAAAATAGCAGCTTTGCCTTCTTTTGTCATGTCTCTATAATTTAAGTGTTGATATTAAAACTGAATCAAAAGTTCCTGTGCCAGTTTTCATGAAGTGGCAGAAGAAAATGCAACTGGCTCAATTTTCTTCCACTGCATTTGATGCTTGCCTGCTATAAGCAATGGGAAATTGGCCATGGATTTTTACCTGAACACCAAAAGCTTTTGAGCACTTGGAAAATGAAGTGCAGACTACTCTTCTTCCAAAGTATTTAAACTTGTCTTCCCGGCAAACCTCAAGTCCCAAACCTTCCAATGGACCCATTTTCTGTACTTTCATCCCTAATCCAAATGCACTGTTTCAGACAAAGCCAGCAAACATTTCAGGTAATCCAGCATTGCTTAAAGAAGCTCAAAGAGCAGAAGCTATTTGGAAAGGTATTTTTCAAATAATTCCCTGGTAACCTGGCTGATTCTGACTAATGACATGTACAGGCAACAAAGATACTGAAAACAAGCGGCTTTGGGAGGGCTGTCAGATCACTTAATGTTTGCTGTGCTTTCCTTTCTCAGAGTATCCATGTCAGTTGCAAAGGAAAATTGTTTGGATGGAAATGATATTTCTCACAAAGCATAACATCTGGTATACAGCTGTTGTGCTGACTGAACTACCAAGCAAGCACCTCAAGCTTTCCTATAAGCAGCGTTGCTGAGTTTCTAAATATGGCTTTTAAATTGCACTCTGGTGAAACATCGAGCAAGCTACAACTTCTTCCCACATACATGTTTCTAAGCATTTTGTCCAACAAGTAAGTGAATGGCCTTTTCCTAAGGTTGTTCCTTCATTTACAACTACACTGTTATTCATATCTTCTGTTTTGAGGCAAGGCTAGCTCAAAAGGATTAAAATGGTACTGAGACTGTATTTAGAAGATGCTTCATTTCACCTCCACCTCACAAGGTGAGCAAACAACCCTTACACATATCATAGTCTCATTCTTGAAAGACAATGCTTCTTTGTCATAAAATTTGCATTTAAATTAAAGTAAGCAATGTATTTAAACAAATAAATATCACAGAACACCATATGGTCTCCCCTACCCCTGTTTTTACAACTACTTAATAACCTATGCTATGCTGACGATATTACCCTGATAGCTGAAAATGCAACTCCAGTAATAAAAGACAAGGACAAAAAAAATAACAGACAAGTGAAAAAATGGGGCTAAATTAAATGCCAGGAGTACCAAACTAACAACAACAGGTATAACAACCAGCCTTAGAATTGACAGTGAAGATACTGAAGTGGTAGACAGCTTCTGCCTTTAGGATCAACCATTAACAATAAGCAAACAAGCAGACAAGAAATACACTGCAGACTAGCATTTGGTGGAGTAGCTATGAAGGCCTTGGAAAAGATATTCAGATGCTATAATGCGTCTAAACTTAACAAAGATGAGAATAATGCAAGCAATGGTATTATTGTGACAATCTATGGAAGTGCAAGTTGGACCTTGAAAAAGCAGGACAGAAAGAGTACTGACGCTTTTGAATTCTAGTGTTCGAGAAGACTCCTGAGAATACCATGGGTAGCCAGGAAAACAAACAAATGGATCATTGAACAATCAATTCAGAATTCTCACTCAAGGCATAAATGACCAGGCTTCAATTATCCTGCTTTGGAATCATTATGCAGGCCTACTTCTCTAGGGAAGGTGCTAATGCTGGGAAAGGTGGAAGGAAAAAGAAGAGGACACCCTGCAGCGAAGTGGATGGACTCAGTTACAGTGGCAATGGGTGTCCCATTGGAAGACTTGAAGAACCAGGTTAGGGATAAAACGTTGTGGAGAAAATCTATGTGGTCACCAAGAGTCAACTCCAACTTGATGGCACATAATCTATCTATCTATGTATTTACCTCCTACAGTAATGGGATAGAGCTTGCCAAGTGCAAGTTTTGAGTCATAACATTTTAATATGATACGAAAATGTGAAGACCTCAAGGAAGCCAGTGAGATGATTTGGCTAGATGGACTCAAAGGTAGCCATATATGAAAATCAAGAAGTTTCTGTTCTGAACTTAAGGGCACATTACAAACTTTATATACTACACAGAAATTCTCCAGAATTCCACTATTCATCATTTAATTCAACTCATACACACATAAGAATGCAGTTGTGACCTGCATTCTTTTCAAAAATTCATCCCATCTTCTTACATTTATTTGACAAAGCTCTCCTAGTATCACTTCTTATATACGTATCTACCATCATAACCATTTATTCTAGCTGGCAATTTCTTTGCTTCATCAAGATGTAATTCCAAGCTTACTGTATCATTCTTCAAGCTTGCTCCTACTTTGCCTACATATTTAACATTTGCATTATGCACTGTGATGTCCAAGGACCAATTTCTTTAAAGAGATTGACACCGTATCCTTTTTGATCTAAAGTAGCACATTATTTTTCTCATCTGATTACATTAATTTTGTATCAGTTTTATGCATCTCTGTAACTTCCTGAGCACAGCTGCTGTGAGGGTGGTTCTTTCCCTAGGCACTATTCCAGGGTACTCAAACAGAAACAGGAAAAGATCTCAGGAATCAGCAATGATGCAAGAGTATTCCTGAACAAACAGTTCATCCATGCCTTAAAAGGGGAAGCTGTGAAATGCAGTTAAGTTGGACTTTTAAGAACAAGGTCCTTCCCTTGCCCCAATCCTAACAGCTTTTCATTTTCTTTTTCAAAATGATTAAAACAATAAAGGTCTAACAGGGATCTTCATACTTTGTGGTATTTTGACCTGCTAAAATGATAAATGAATTTTTATGACCTCCCCTCATGCATAAAATGAATGATTGGGCAAGAAATAAATACACCACTAGCTTTTCATAACTACATTTAAATTTATGCATCTCAAAATTTGTAATATTGCATTAGCTCCTGTGACTATGGCCAACCAAAGTAGAAGAAAGTTTTGAAAGTGCTCCTTGTGGAGAACAGTCAAAGTTTACTCCAAGCTTTCTTTCCCCCTTTGACTGCTGAGGGCTTGCCTAGGCAAAGCAAGCACCAATTTTGTCAGCAATGTTGGTGCCAGCATCATCAGCTTTAAAACGATTCTGTGACCCTGCTCTACATTGATCAGAGACCTCCAAAGGATTGTGGCCTACAATTTGAGAGCCCCTGACCTAACTACAAATTACAAACTAAACTCTGGTGCTCCAAAGTATTTAATGGTCTGTATGTATTGAAAGTATCTCTCATCTCTCTCAACAAACTGATTTGTTCTGGTCAACTAAATGTGTTTCTGGAATGAGCACTGGGACTGAGGAATCCTCCTTCATCTAGCTATAGATGGCTTCTTCTTGTAGCTTGCCAAGATTCCTACATTCCACTGTGATAGAGAACTGTGGAGTCACAGAAGTCAGGAACTTTCCACCAAAGCCAGCAGTGATAAAACTAGTTTTTTTTAACACAACTGCTGGAAGGGAGGATCTATGTCTCCCATCTCTCAATGAGCCCATTCAAAAGTGCTTATTTCCTGCTGCCTATGACCTGGACTCCTTTTTTTTCCAAATGACTTTACTCAAGATTGTTGCGAACAAGGGGATAAATAGTATGTGCAGATATTTGCTTGCTAATCTCTGTGTCAGCAAGAATGTCTGATCTTGGTTTTGAACATGCCTAAATAAGATAACTTGATGGCACAGTTCTATTATTGAAGCAAAGGTTATCTCACTAGCGCTAAAAGCTGCCTGAAAGGGAGACCTTCTATAAACAACACTGCAAGACTCTCTAAACTTGGTAATAAATGTACCTCATGCAAACATAATAGACAAGAAGTTATAATCACATCTGCTTTAAAAAATTAAATCTATAGGATCTAACGTACCTCCAACACCATTGCAGCGAGATGTCATTTCCCACAGAACCAAAGCCATGGAATACACATCAGTCTGCTTGAAGGATTCAACATTATCCAAGTTCATTCTGGATTCCAGGACTTCAGGAGCCATGTATCTTGCTGTACCAACCTGTCAGCATTTACAAAAGTTAAAATGGTTTAAATGGAATTATCTATTCAGAATGCAGAACCACCACTGAATATTTTACCTCAAAAACAAAATCAGCTATGTAGGTGATGGGAGACTACTAAGCAGATGGAAATAGGTTCGATTTTCATGACTGTGTGGCCCAGAAGAAAGTTTAATCACCACTTAAGCAATGTCTCAAAGTGTAATATTTATGGTTTTCCCCATAAGTGTGAACAATTGCCAGGAAAAGAGCATCACTGAGGACACTAATGCAGTTGGAGCTAAAGCTGCCCTCCACCCTTTACAAATGATGGCCTAGATTTTGTTGAAGAGATACTACAAGGGAAGACATGCAGTTATGCAAGCCTGCCTCTAACCATAGTCAGTCCATCACAAAGCTAGGTATTTCACCACGTATTAATCAAAATCCTCTAGCTCTCCAAATTGCTCCTCATGCCTCAGCTTACCTGCCCACTATTGGCCAGGTCATCAACTGAGAGAGTTGGATCCAGCCGCAGCGACAGCCCAAAGTCACAAAGACAGCAGGCCAGATCATTCTTTACCAGGATATTGGAGCTCTTCAGGTCTCTGTGGACAATAGGTGTCTTGAGTCGGCCACAAGGTGTGTGGTCACTATGAAGGTGGGCAATCCCACGAGCCAAAGAGCCACCCAGTTTCCAGAGATCCTCCCAGCTAATTATGTGTTTTATGAGGTACTCCTGCAAGTTGCCTCTTGAATGGAAAGCAGTGATCAACCAATATTGTTTGCCTAGATCTGTCTTGCGCTCCTCTGCTGTAAGGAACTGTAGGATATTCTCATGTTTTAAATTTATGTCAGAAAAGATGTCTTTCTCAGTCTTCCAGGAGGCATATTCTTCATAGGAGAAGATCTTGACAGCCACTGTTTCAAACTGTTCTGATGTATTTTGTTTCAGTTTAGCCTTATAGACTTCTGCAAATCGCCCTTTGCCTACCAAAGTGTCCAACTCAATGGGCAGCAATTCGGTATTATGGTTAATATTATTAGCACACGTAGAACTGATATCAGAGCGATCATCATCCAACATAATGGCACAAACATCACTACAGTCTTTGTGCTTCCTGGACTTCACATTTTTCTCCCATGCCTTGTTGAGCTTCCTCCTCCTCTGAACACGGTAAAAGTAAAATATAATGATCACAGCAATGGCAATCACCAGCAACGGGACAAGGCATATAACTGCGACCAAAAGTATCACATATTTTACTTCTGTACTTGAGGTGGTATCTGGAAAAAAGGTATAAAACATTAAATGAAACTGCTACAAAATATAGAAAAATGCCATTAAGGTAATTATAGTCGTATAATTATAGAAGAGAGTCGGTTTGTTGTAGAGGTTCAAGGGAGCAAGCTAAAAAACAGGAGATCGTGAGTTCTAGTCCTGCCTTAGGCACAAAGTCAGCTGGATGACCTTGGGCCAGTCTCTGTCTCTCAGCCCTGGGAAGGAAGCAATGGCAAACCATTTCCAAAATCTTGCTAAGAAAACGCAGGGACTTGTCCAGGCAGTTGCCAGGAGTTAACACTGACTCAAAAGTACACACAGTCACACACGATAATTATAGAACTATAGTTCACTTTACAACAGGATAAGGAGCTACAGTACTAAGGAATCCTGTAAGATTACAGGAATGCTAAGAATATAGTGTTTTTCTCTTCAGCATTTTAAATTGGCACAAAAAGGGAATTCTGGCTTATTTGCAAATGCTTGTGTGCATGTGAATACAAATACTGAGCTGGGTCTAGCTCAGTTTTTCATTTCAGCTACAACAATAACTAATCAGCATTTTACTACAATGACTGTTTCAAGTACCCTCACAGATTCAGCTTGACAGTCTTGTGCTGGAGAACAGCTTGCTTAACTGGGGTATTTTTCATGAGACAGGGAAAAAAAGAAGCAGCTTAATCTAGACTAAAAGATGTGTCATTGTTATTTTTGTTGTGAAGTTAGATTAGTAGAACAAGTTGTGTGCCCTGAAACAATTGCTTTTTTTTTTAGTGTGAAACTCTCAATACCATAGATAAAAATCTAGTCCAGTGAGGTACAACATTGGAATTTGTAACCACAATGGAATGAATAACTTGTGTAATCACACTCTGAGGTTGTCTGTACCAATTCTGTTTTTAGCCTAGGTTTTAAAGTTGGGGTGGTGGGGAGGGGAGGTCAATATGATGGAAAATACACAGATGTAAAAATCACTAAATTTCCTTTAAGTTCATATTAAATATATTTCAAGTTATCTATAATACAATCAAGGCATTACAAGAATCACTACAAAACAAAACTTCAAAGAATTAAAATAAAATTAAGGACAAATCACTCTTTTTACATTATTTATCCATCCATCCATCCATCCATCCATCCATCCATCCATCCATCCATCCATCCAATTTGTATGGTCACCCATCTCAAATTCATGACTCTGGAAGGCTAATAATACTTAAAAAACAACATAAAAACCACATAACAAAATGTCTGGGGCTCCAGACTCAACAAAACCAGGTTTTCAAGGCCTTATGAAAAGCTAGTAGGATCAGGCAAGTCTGATCTTCAGGGGAATGATGAAGAGGGTAGGGGTGCCATGACAGAGAGGACTCTCCTCCTGGGTTCCACCAGATGACACTCCCTAGCAGGTGGGACCTGGGGTATGTCCTTCCTGATGTCAGAAGTTCTAGATGTAAAAGAAAATGAATGAGCAATTGTTCTTGCTGTTGAAAGGCAAACTACATTTGCATTCTCCTTTTATTTAATAGTTCAATAACATCCAGTTTTTCTTGTACAGGGAAATCTGTTTTCCCTTTACAAGGGCTGATGGAATAGAGAACCAGCTTAACTCTTTTCTTATTTCTCCATTCCACAGACCTTCTAGAAGTTTCACATGTAAGGGTTTTCCACAAATATCAAAATTGGTTGGGTTATATTGTCGTTCTTGGATAACATGTGGGTGCAGAGCATCTGCAGGATCAGAGGTTTTCATCAAAATCCCGAAAGCAACGCTGTGCCCTTGCAAACAAGTTCTGCCTCTTTCATATGGGTATACAGATTTTGCATTGTGCTGTTGTGATAGAGACACCCACCCACACACACACACATATATGACATTTCTGAATGAAACAACATTAAGGAGCACTCTATGTTCTCTAACTAATCCCACCCCAGAAATATATTTTTCTTGTGCAAACATGGCTGTTTGGCTGCTGAACTTGCTAAAAATAGAGCTTGGCTCTTCTGAATGAAGCATCCTCAAAAAAAAAAAAGGGGGGGGAATTCTGCTCTGCTGAGTGGAATCTTAAATAGGAGCATGCTATACTACAGCTTTTTGTTGCAGACTCCACTTGTCTTCCCTATAGCCAGAATTCTCAGATGAAGACAAGAAGCTACAAGATACTGAACAGCTAAAGCTGAGAGAAGAGAAAACATCAGAAGTCTTGCCAAAGAATTTAACAGGTGATGAAATAAACTAGAGAAAATTCCATTAGGAACAGAGAAACAAGGATGCTGAAGGGTATAAAATAGACTGGAGCTGATCTGTAAAGAGAGAATGTTGAAACATCTATAATCTCTGGGACTGTAGATTCAGTAAGATCTACCAGACCCTACTGGGATATTCTGAGGCATATTTAATGTCACCTGATAAATATGAATGCTAAATATTTAATGAGCTGGTGACAACATCCATGCATTTTGCATGGGTTCTCAACAGAACACTTCAGTGATCTAAATTGGCCTGCAAGAGATTCCAGCATGCCATCTGCTTGACAGCTCTCCATTTGTCAAGCAGCAGATGGGCCTCAATACTTAGTCTGCTGCATGTTTCTCAGGAATTGCTTGCTGCCCAATTCTGATAGACAATTTGAGACACCATTTAGAGTTCAAAACGAAGGAGTCTCCCTGCCAGCAGCAGTGTCTTTTCCCTTCATTGCTGAAAGAGATCCTTAGCATGAAAGAACACATTGAAATTTTTACCGATCTACTGTTTACGCAGTGTGCATTTATAACTTACAAAGTGGACATTTATCTCAACATACTGCCTTAGAAGCATACTTAAAAACTCAATTTTCTCTTTAAGAGGAGATCTTCAAGAAAGTGAGGGCTTGAATGGGAAGCTATTTGGACTTGCAAGCAAGGACAAAGCAAAGTTAAGTGTCTGAAACAATTTAAGGGTAGTTCATGAGTTATAGTACAAAGTCTTTACGGTTAAGTCAGAGGATCTCAAAACATGGGCTGTGACCTCCCAGAGAGATAACAATTTTAAGGAGGTGTCACAATTCAGGCTTGGACTTTTGAGTACTATTAAGCTTATGAATATGTTTTCAGCTGCCTCATTTACTTATGATCCACAAACAATACTGTATTCTTTAAGTCATTATTCATGTTACAGAACACTGTTTTGAAATGAACTTATTTGACAAATTGGTTACATTTATCATTATGTCAAAAATGTCAATAAAGTAGTTGTAATTGGCTTTGATTAAAGAGTAATATACATTCCCCCTCCTGAAGTTAGGCTCATCCCTTCCCTGCTGTCGTTTAGGAAGTCCCTCAAGTCCTGATTGTGTCATCAGACCTGGGGGTCTTTGGGAATCGGAGACATTCGTAGATGGCTCCACTGTAATTGATATTCTGCTCTCTCCGTGGGGTTTGTATATTTTAAAATCTAATTAAAAAATTGATAGTTTTTTATTTTAATAATTACTTTTTATAATGATTGTTTTTACCCATTTGTTATTTAATTATTGTACACCACCCAGAATTGCTTTGTGTGAGATAGGCAGCTATATAAATGTGACATATCCATCCATCCATCCATCCATCCATCCATCCATCCATCCATCCATCCATCCATCCCAGATTGGGGATATTAATGCAAATAAAAGAGATAAAAGTCTTATTTCTACCACTGACCCTGATAGCTCATGTGACAAACTATTATTAGATATTGGCGATCCACTGACACTGACCACTAGATATCTGGGATTGTCTTCTCTGCAGGCACTGCACACTGTAATATATCCATAGACTTCCAAGTGTCTGTAGAAGTGTAGTTATTAGTGAAGTTCATTATTTTTATCCATTTTATGTACTTTTAGGATTTTGACACTGTTTTATTCAATGTTAAAAGTAAATGGTGTATTTACCCTAGCCCCAATGAAATCATTAGATTTATTCTTGGGATGGGGAAGAGGTGAATGCACACATTCATTTGTCAGGTTAGATAATCATGATAACGCAAGATTTGAAAATATCTGGCTGCTGGGTTTTGAGGGTTATTAACAGCTAGTAGTGTTTGTGTTATGCTGCTTTGCTGAATATTTAGTGAGCTCCTCTCTTACTAAGTATTGGACTAGGGCCAGAGAGACTTAAGCTGATCCACTATTTAGAATTGGGGCACTGTGTTACTTTGCTGTCTACTTTGAAGAAGCACTTCATTTGAACCTTCAACAAGAAAAATGCTTCTTTGAAGATCCATACAGCCTTTACGGACACATTAGAGCTACAAAGCATGTTTTTTCCCTCACAACTACAACATTAAGGTATTGCAGACAAATGCTACATTCACACTTCTTCAAGCTCCAAAGGACTTTTTAAAGACTAAAAAACTGCGCAGCTCTAGTACACATACCTAGGAATGAGACTTTCTTCTAAGTAAATACTGCATACTAAATTTAGGGCAACCAGATCTGGATTGCAAGAATCCAGATGGCCACTAGATGGAAGCAAAGAGATAGATATAACTTTAATCCTTTGCTGTCACATCAGATTTTTGCAGCCCAAGATCACATCAGCAGGCCTGCATCCATGTCTGTATACACACGCACACAAACTTATATCTATGTGTGTACATACCCAACCAGTTACAGAAATGCAGAATAAAAACCCAAATTACTCAAAAGTATCCAAATTAAATAATCATTTGCTTACTTAACAACTACAAATGGCTTCCAGTTTAGCATACTGGGAGAAAAATATCTATGCTAAAACATTACAAGTTTAGCTGGAATAAATATTTAAATATGTACCAAGATGCCAGTTGCATTCACCTGCTTATACTCACTACACTAATGAGTATTTTGCTCACAAGGATATTTAGGAAAGAAAGGCCATATAAAGACTAAAAGCTGGTAAATCAATCATAGAAAGTTTCTACTGTTAGACTCTATAATTATCAGACTCTAACCTTACACAAAGTTAGGGCTTAAGTCCAAATAAATACCATACAACAAACAAG